GGATCTCGATTGTCTAGTTTGGATGGTTGCTATGGTCGATTGCAGTGACGCCAGCTGGCTCGTTAATTGTGTTAACTGCTTTTGAAAGGAGGCTAAACAGCTAATATCTGTTGGTCCAGGTGGTTGCAATGAGTTCACACAGTGATTGTCGTGGTATACTTCCATCATTTTATCTGCCATGTCGGCTAAGTCATCAAGTGCGACGGATTTCCCTGAAACACTGAGAATTTGTCGAACGCTGTGTGGTAATCTTTGAAACCACATTTGCTTTAGGAGGGCTTCGTCTAGCTTGTATGGACCGGCGAGTTGTTTCATGTGGCGGAGAAGTTGCGAGGGTCTTTTATCACCCAAGTCACAAGATGTTAACAACTGTTGTAGCCTTTTCTCATCTGAGACCGTGGTGCGTTGAATAACTGCTGCTTTTATCTTATCATATGGTTCAGATTCTGGCACGTGATCGATTAAATCACCAACTTCAGCGGCAATCTCGATAGGAAGTGCGCCGACTACGTATGCATACTTTGATGCCTGGGATCTTATGCCTCTAGCCATGAATAAAGCTTCAATTTGAGCAAACCAGACTCTGGGATTATTAGCTCCATAAGTTGGGAGTCTGAATTCTGAGATAGAATTAACTGAACTAAAATTATTTTCGGGAGAGTTCGACAATGAGACAAAAGTTGTTACTGGAGGCGAATCCATATCAATGAGTTTAGTGGGAGAGGACATTACGAGAAAAAAATAAACCAGTAAATTGTATGAAATGAAAAACAAAATAACCGTTAGGATAAACACGAGGCTCACCAAATAATTGTGGTGGACCAGACAAATATGAACGCAAAAAGTATAAACAAAGTTACTAAAGATAAATAGTAATATTAATATATATACAGTTAACTGTTACAAATACAATAAAAATTAAGGACGTTACTTAAATTGCCCAAACGTTGCGTGTTCTGATTAGGTCCAGTAATGTAAATCCACAATTATAAATGCTTGATGACTCTGAGCAGGTTGGCGAACTCTCTAGCGATATAGTCCAACGTAGGATGTGATATATTCCGATTACAGTCTATAAATGTAGATAGTATTTGATTTAGACTTCCGTTAACTCAATCACAAATGGAAATAGAACGAGGAATGCGAGAGTAGTAATGTATTTGTTAGTCGGCAAGAATATACCACGCTATGTAGTAGCTCAACGGAAAGTGTCTTCAAGGTCAATGACTTAAACAACGGGTACAATCATTTAATGATAAATGTACATGCAGTGGGAAATTGACAAAATAAATACAAATAATATTAAAAACTATTTACAAAATAAGCTTGTCAGGTCTATCTCCACATAGCTCCCCCCAGAGTGTCCGGAGGTAACACTGGTTACAATAACAATAAGAAAAATTTTATACAAAAAAAATAATAATATTTACAATAATAACCGATTAACAATGTGGAGATGCGTATGGCATGTACGTTAATAATATACAGTGTGTTATTGCGTGAAAATAGCGGTGATGTGGCATAGCATGACAAACAAAAGTAATGAGAATACCGTCATTTAAAATCTTGGTTTGCTAACAATGATAATAATGTACAGAACTGTTACTGAACCCAAAAAAAATGAACTGCTTTTGTGTGTGTGTACAACAAATGAATAATTAAATAGAGTTTACTCGTTTATTATTGTAACAAATTTTTTTTTATAAAAAAAATGTGACAAAACGAATAATTGTGGGAAAAAAATATGGTTAACTATGTACACTGTAAAAAAAATCATAGATTTTGTTGGGAAAAATCGGGTGAGTATAATGGTATAGTACATCAGTAATTGTTTGTTTAGATTTTTTCTTATTCGGCGAAATGTACATAGCGTTTGGGTTTTTTTACAGCTCTACCTGAGCGCGTTAAGCAAGTAGGTTTGATACTCAGTTTTTCTTCCATGTCTGCTGTAGTGGTGGTTGCTGGACGGGGTTGGTTCGGTGAAGTAGTATGTTCTTTGTCGTGCTGTTCTTCATAGAAAGCAGGCTTTATTCTATCGATAGCAATAGTCTCTTTCTTTCCACACTTGTTGATTATGAAGTGTTTGGTCGTTCTTTTAATTACTTGATATGGTCCTTCATATGGTTGTTTCAATGGCTTTTTAACAGCATCAACTCGAACAAAGACAAATTTGCATGTTTCTAGATTTCTGTTGAGTTGTATTCGATTGTTATGTTCGCGAGGCGGTATGGCTTTGATTCGTTGCATGGTTTGCAGCAGTTGGCTAGCAAAACGACTTGGGTCCGTTGGTGTTAAAGTGTTTGGGTCCACTAGTTGACCTGGTAATGTAAGGGTTGTACCGTAAACTAGCTCAGCGGCTGTACAACCTATATCTTCCTTTATAGTTGAACGGATACCCAGGAGTACAAGTGGTAATGCGTCACTCCATTTTGTCGTATCATCTTGTGCCATCAGCGAGCTTTTCAATTGGCGGTGAAATCTTTCGACCAAGCCGTTAGCTGCTGGGTGGTAGGCTGTTGTTTTGATGTGGTTCACGCCCAGAAGTCTTGTGAATTCCTGAAATAAGATAGACTGAAACTGGGGACCACGGTCGGTAGTGACGATAGAAGGTACTCCGTAATTCGCTATCCAACGGTCAAGGAATACGCCGGCTACTGTTTCTGCAGAAGTATCAGCAATAGGGCATGCTATGGCCCATCTTGTGAACCTGTCCACCGCAGTGAGAATGTGCGTGAATGAATTAGATGGTGGCAATGGACCAACTATGTCTAAGTGGATATGCTGAAAACGTTTTTCCGGCAGGGGATACTTGCCAACTGGACTGATCGTGTGGTTCTGAATCTTGCTGCGTTGACATTGTAGGCAGCTTCGCGTCCATCGTTTTATATCTGAATTGATTTTTGGCCACACAAAACGCTCAGTAACCAATTTGATTGTGGCTCTGATTCCTGGGTGAGAAAGGTCATGCAGTTGACGAAATACCTGTCGACGACATGCTAGTGGTACGAAAGGGCGATTGTTACCCGTTGAAACATCGCAAATGATAGATGTATTTGAGAAAGGGATGGGTACTGGTTTAAGGTTCAAGTTAGACTTCTCCTGGCAGACCTTCAAATCTGCATCGTCTACTTGTAGTTTTGCGATGGTTTCTAGATCGATGTCTTGTTTACGTAACAAGGTATTTACGTCCTTACGTGACAATGCGTCAGCTACGACGTTGGTATTTCCTTTGACAAATTGGATATCTGTCGTAAACTGGGAGATGTAATCCAGTTGTCGTGCTTCCCGTGGAGAATGTTTGTCGTAGGTCGTATTGAAAGAATAGCAAAGTGGTTTATGATCAGTCATAATGGTGAAATCGCGTCCCTGAAGGAGGAAGTTGAAGTGTTTTACAGCTAAGTACATAGCTAGAAGTTCGCGTCCGAAGGTGCTATAACGTTCTTGTGCTGGCGATAATCTCTTGGAGAAAAAGGCAATGGGGGTAATCTTGTTGTTTACCCGCTGTTGTAATACTGCCCCGACGGCTTTTTGTGAAGCATCCGTGCACAGGATCAACAGTGTTGTGGGGTCAGTATTTAGGTGTTGGAGCATGGTAGCATTAGCAATCATGGATTTAGCTTTTTCAAATGCTACTTTGGCATCGGAAGGTAACTTGAATATTTGGTTCTTTTCTTTCTTGGTACTTGATTTATCGTTTTTCAGTAAATCTGTCAATGGCTGTAGTACGTCGGCACAATTTGGTAGAAATCGTCGATAAAAATTACATGTTCCAAGAAAACGGCGTAGTGATTTTACTGAGGTTGGTTCTGGATAGCTGGAGATGGCTTTGACTTTCTCTTCAAGCGGTTTAATTCCTTGGGAATCAATGTGGTGTCCCAGGAATTCCAGAGATGAGGCGCCAAATATACACTTCGAAGGGTTGATTACAACACCATAACTTTTGAAACGTTCAAAAAGCGTGTGTAGGTGTTGAACATGTTCGTCAATGGAAGAACTAGCGATTAAAACATCGTCGATATAGACAAATACGAAATCCAGACCTCTAGTTACTTCGTCCATAAATCTCTGGAAGGTTTGAGCGGCGTTTTTTAGTCCGAAAGGCATCCTCAAGAATTCAAACAAGCCAAAAGGTGTGATTACAGCTGTTTTCTCGATATCCTCAGGTGCCATCGGTATTTGGTGGTATGCTCGGACTAGATCTAACTTTGAAAAAATCTGCTTTCCATGTAGATTTAAAGAAAAATCATGCAGGTGAGGGATCGGATACCGGTCTGGGATAGTCTGGTTATTCAATCGGCGATAATCTCCACATGGGCGCCAGTCTTGATCTTTCTTGGGAACCATATGCAGCGGCGAGGCCCAAGGACTGTTAGATTGTCTGATTATCCCAAGTTGCATCATATGTTCGAATTCTCTCTTAGCGAACTGCAACTTGTTTGGATGGAGTCTTCTCGCCCTGGCGCGAATAGGTGGTCCTGTAGTAGTAATACTGTGTTGGACATGATGTGTGGAGCATTCGTTTTGGTAATCAGCTCTGGTTATACTTTCATACTTCGACAGGATATCGGTGAAAATTTTGTTTTCAGGTCTTAACATTCGGACTCCATGAATTTCGTAACTGGAGAGAGTTGTGCCACTGACCTGTAAGCTTGTGTTTTTGTCGATTAGTTTCTTTTTTGCCATATCTACAAGTAGGTTGTAAGCACCGAGAAAATCGGCCCCGATAATGGGTTGTTTGATTTCAGCTACGATGAAAACCCATGTGAAACGTCTCCGGAGACCGAGATCTAAAATAAGTGATTGTTCGCCATAAGTTTTAATGACTGTGTTATTGGCTGCGACTAGAGACAATTTAGTACTCTGAGGGTGCCGTCGTTGAGAGAGGTGTAATGGGATAATGCTGATTTCGGCTCCTGTATCGACCAAAAAATCTGAGCCCGAAATTCGATCCCTGACATGAAATAGACGGCTCGGGTAGTGGCCAGAAACAGGCGCCGCCATCACTGTCTGGCCGGGTCGTTTCCCTGATTTTCTGTGTCAGACGCAGAAAATGTGCACGGTCGTGTACAACGCCGTGCTTTGGTGCCGTATTTTTGGTGGTACCAACAAACATCAGATGTTCGCTTCGGTGACCGAGACCGTTGTCTAGAAAAAGATCTTCGTCTGGAGGGGGATCTCGATTGTCTAGTTTGGATGGTTGCTATGGTCGATTGAAGTGACGCCAGCTGGCTCGTTAATTGTGTTAACTGCTTTTGAAAGGAGGCTAAACAGCTAATATCTGTTGGTCCAGGTGGTTGCAATGAGTTCACACAGTGATTGTCGTGGTATACTTCCATCATTTTATCTGCCATGTCGGCTAAGTCATCAAGTGCGACGGATTTCCCTGAAACACTGAGAATTTGTCGAACGCTGTGTGGTAATCTTTGAAACCACATTTGCTTTAGGAGGGCTTCGTCTAGCTTGTATGGACCGGCGAGTTGTTTCATGTGGCGGAGAAGTTGCGAGGGTCTTTTATCACCCAAGTCACAAGATGTTAACAACTGTTGTAGCCTTTTCTCATCTGAGACCGTGGTGCGTTGAATAACTGCTGCTTTTATCTTATCATATGGTTCAGATTCTGGCACGTGATCGATTAAATCACCAACTTCAGCGGCAATCTCGATAGGAAGTGCGCCGACTACGTATGCATACTTTGATGCCTGGGATCTTATGCCTCTAGCCATGAATAAAGCTTCAATTTGAGCAAACCAGACTCTGGGATTATTAGCTCCATAAGTTGGGAGTCTGAATTCTGAGATAGAATTAACTGAACTAAAATTATTTTCGGGAGAGTTCGACAATGAGACAAAAGTTGTTACTGGAGGCGAATCCATATCAATGAGTTTAGTGGGAGAGGACATTACGAGAAAAAAATAAACCAGTAAATTGTATGAAATGAAAAACAAAATAACCGTTAGGATAAACACGAGGCTCACCAAATAATTGTGGTGGACCAGACAAATATGAACGCAAAAAGTATAAACAAAGTTACTAAAGATAAATAATAATATTAATATATATACAGTTAACTGTTACAAATACAATAAAAATTAAGGACGTTACTTAAATTGCCCAAACGTTGCGTGTTCTGATTAGGTCCAGTAATGTAAATCCACAATTATAAATGCTTGATGACTCTGAGCAGGTTGGCGAACTCTCTAGCGATATAGTCCAACGTAGGATGTGATATATTCCGATTACAGTCTATAAATGTAGATAGTATTTGATTTAGACTTCCGTTAACTCAATCACAAATGGTAATAGAACGAGGAATGCGAGAGTAGTAATGTATTTGTTAGTCGGCAAGAATATACCACGCTATGTAGTAGCTCAACGGAAAGTGTCTTCAAGGTCAATGACTTAAACAACGGGTACAATCATTTAATGATAAATGTACATGCAGTGGGAAATTGACAAAATAAATACAAATAATATTAAAAACTATTTACAAAATAAGCTTGCCAGGTCTATCTCCACAGATTTAACTGTCATCACGAACATAATTTATGGAGGACTTCCAGGTGAAAGATTATTTCTACGTTAGCACCATTTCTGAAAACATATTGATCCAACATAGATTTTTTCCGGGAGCAATTGTAATTGAACCTTTGGTATCAATGACGCAAATTAAGCCAAATCCAGCCCAACACCGAGCGCGTTACGTTATTCCTTACACATACTTTACTGGTAAATATAGGTGCTTAGCCAAACATCTTCATACACACACTTTTAATTTCATAACAAGACGTTTTCCCACACAACAAGTGGCGTGTCACACATTCGAAACAAGCGTTCTGCTTACTGAAAGTGTTTTGGTTCTTTATTAGATTTGATTCAGATTCAGATTTGTGTAGTAAGGAGAGAAGGCCTACGGCCTATGTTATTCCTTTTCTAGTATGCTTCTGTGAGTGTCCAGTCTTCTCTTGAAAGAGTCAATTGAAGGTGCGGACACCACTGCTTACGTAGAAGTGTCCTCATAAGAGAGATTTTATTGATTGTTGAAGAAGAGTAACATATTACTCCAACAAATTGACTCAAAAACTAGTTCACAGTATATTTCGCAGGATTCGAAATGTCAACTAATCTCAGCTTATTGTCTCCATCTCCCAAGGAAGTGCTTATTTTCACAGATTTTGTGAACGGTCTGATAGGCAAGCTCTCGACTATCTCCACTGCATTGTTCTAATATATTACTGTATAACTCCCAGTCCACCACTAAATTTTACTGTATAAAAGATTTATTTTGTCTGTTCATTTCCTAGTACATAGATTACCGTTTATTCCTATACAGTTTCGCAAAAATACTCATTAATATGTTTGCATTTTTCACCCTCATTTCCTACATTTTTTAACTTAAAGTCAACTTAATATTCTTTTAAATTCCACAGAATCCGTTTAAATATGGCATATAATGTGTAAACATTTTAAAAACTTGTATACAATTGTTTCTCTATATCACTTATGTATCAATAAGCTGCTCGTGTACAATAATAGTAACAATAGTGTCGACAGTTCGACTTGTGTCTCATGTTCAAAAACTGTAAGGTCTTTTCACGTTTTAAGAGATAGTCGGAAAATGAAGTAATGCAATTGTCTTTCCTCATTTGATGACATTAATTATTGGTCACTTCACATAGTCTATTGACAACCATAAAAAATATATCGAACCTCTGTTTCAGTATCCTTCTTATTTCGTCATAACCTTCACATGATGGCAAAATTTCACAATTAATTGCGCTTGCTTCTTCATTGTTGCACTGTCCAGCTACGTACATAGACCTCATCTCTTAGAGCGGTCTATCAGAGGATAGTAGCACTCTAAACCGTTAGATGATGTTTATAGTTTCTATCGCACTTACCGTACGAATTATCAGGCATGTCAACACTTACAATGTAAACCTTATGTCGACTATATGGGTCAGCGTGCGTTCTTTAAGGTTAATTTTTATCGGCTGGTGGATAGTTAAGTATCCTATTCAGCGATATGTAACCGTAGATACACAAGTGAGCTGGTGTCTAAAAATGTAGTCGACTGCTTAAATGGCGCAACAGTAGTCCTTCGTCAGTCCAACTCAAGTTCAAAACTGCCATTTTAATCATCCAGAAAACTGATCACACTAGAAAACTGGACCGAACCAGGGACTGATTGAAGTAAGAATAAAATAACTTACTGATGAGCACAGGACATTACGTAGTCCTCTACAATTCCCTAAGGAGCACCAAACATTTCACTTGCTAGAAAGTGTGGTTTAAGAAACAACATCAAACTGTAAACGGCTATTTTCTGAGGACATCAGGAATAAAAAATTATTGTCAACAGACAGGTTATTAAAAAGTCATATAGGGTGACATACAATGCGTACTGCTTACTGTATCGCTCCAGTCAATAAAATTTTAATCCAACCAAGTAGGGGTCAATTACTAGTGGGTCAGTTATGCCAACAGTCGTCTTTCACAGACAAAACCAACCTTGTCCAGTGACGTTTTTGCAACATAAAATGGATAATCAGTTATCTGTCAGGCTTAACAGCCCTAAGACACCATCTTGATTTCCGCACTCAAAATCATGCAACAGAATAAGTAAGAAGACCTTGTAAACGTTTTGTAATCAACGGCTACCCTGGTATAATTATGTTCACTGATGTTCCTTTTTTATTTGGTAAAATATCAGACAGCGAGAAATCTGTGAACTATTCAGTCGCAAATCGCATTCATAACAAAACATGCTCACCGCCTCTGACATTAGCCGAAGATTAAAATAGGCCGTAACACAGTGTATACCATCTTCACTGACCTCAAGATGTGTAACTAATAGGTGATCTATGCTCACAGTCTCGTTAATACGATCGAGGTGGTGGATTATGTACGTAACGTTAACTCACACAGAATTACGGTATGTCAAATCTACACACGATAGCAATGTATTTCGTTTGATTTTTTGCCAAATGTTTCGGTCGTAAAATATTTCAGCTGTGATTATTTGTAAGCAATGAGCTAATATGCTATTTTCTATTTTTCCTCATGCTGTATATAAATGGTGATACACAGATATTGTTGAAATAGGACTGATGTATATACCGTGAGAGATTGAGCGTCATGTGAGCGCTGTGTTGGAAAAATGGAATTTTGGTAATATATAATTCGAGTGTTATACAATTCATAAAACAGACAACAGTTTTCAAGTAGTTTGTGTTCCTACCAAGCCCCAGGTTGCTGCTATACCAGCCTTAGTTGTATAAAGGATTTCCGCCGAGGGAATGAAGTAATGAGTATTTTTGAGTCGTGTTCTGGATATGTAATTTAGATTGTGTACTCAGTTGTCAGACGTGATATTATGTACATGGTTTTTTAAGTTCAGTTACTTGCATGGATTTGACAGGATCACTGCTGACATGTGATCCGTAGTTGCGATGGTTAAAGTTGGTGCTAATATCTATGATTTCTGCAGGAACAACCGGTACAAAGGGTCAGGAGTGTTGTTGACGAAGCATAGACAGAGCATTGTCTCATCTAGACATTTGGAAACTTCTCAAAATTCTTTTAGACTTGGGAGACCAGGATCATTAAACGTAACATAAAGCTTGTAGTCTCCCTAAAACTCAAGGTAATTGTATAGTGCAGTACGAACATAGCCAAAGTATTTGGGTATATCCCATGAAATATATTTTTAAAATTTGAAGTATTCACATATTGTAAATTTAAAACAACATATATAAGCGAACAATTTTGTTTTCGATTAGATCTAATCGAAAACAAAATTGTTCGCTTATATATGTTGTTCTAAATATATTTTTGTCATACCCCTCTGACTTTTTGTTTATGAAGTATATATTTACTTGCTAAGCCTGACGTTTTGGTATTGATATCTTAATCATAGATATGGTGCTTATTCATATGTTTTTTGGGCGAAGTATGAATCAGTTACTTAAAACTCTTTTAAAGAGGTGATTAGTGGCACTGAATTAATGTGCCGAAGTTTTCTGGGGTTATTTTGCACATCACGTGAGCGCTAGAATTCGAGTGCACTACTAGCTAACCAATAAAGTGGCTTACTTTATGTATACGCATAATCCAACTGATTTTATTCCAGATGATAGAAAACTTATGTCGGAAGAGTTTTCACTGTACATTAGATCTACATTGCTGATTCTTGACTAACGTAGTGTGGTTACTTAGTTTATATTTTAGCGTGTCGGTTAGCCTATGACTGTTTTTGAAGGTTGTGGCGATTAGTGGGCGAGTTTGGATTAAAATATAAATAATAAGCTTAACTGTCCTTTTCGAAAAGGCTCCAGTACTAATGTGTCACGTCGTGCAAGGTGACTCTGATCGTAACTCATTACTAAAGTCGTTTTTGAGAACCTCTGTAGTTTCCAGCTTATACGAAGATCATTCAGTAAAAACGGACAATATTCGAGCACTGGGCGGACAAAGACTTAATACAGCGTTGGCCTAGACTCGTGGACATTGTGATTTATACAGCCTATATGTTTACATGCCTCTAAGCCGATTGACGTTTTTCGTTCCTAGGAATTTAGGTCATTTGAGTATCTTGAGCCACGGTCTAAGATAGTAACACATTTGTAAACTGGCATACCATCAACTTCAAAACAAGGTTCCAGATTACGCCATCCGACGTTAATCCAGCTGCATTTATTAATATTAAATTGACGTCGGTACTTTCTACACCATACTGCAGCCTTGTTTAATTCCTGATGCATACAGTAAGCAGTGTTATACGCTTCTTGAGTATACGACCTTCATGTGAACTCAGAGTGCCACGTCATGCATGACCAATCCGTTAAGAAACCATATTGTAATTCAGGGATATAATTTCCAGTCACTTAGTAAGATGACATGCTGCTTTTTGAACGTTCTCAACGATTTGTTTGTTTTGCGACGGACGTCTTTGGGGAGATTTGGAGCGTGTGATTATAAAGAATATCGCGATAATAAGTTACAGTATTGCCGATATTTGCTATATTCTTTAATATCGTTTTAAGATTTTCTTTGACAAAATAAACATTAATGCTGCGGTCATCTAATGATCTCTACAATACGATTTTCAGATGAAGCCAGTTCGTCTACAGCGTTACTTCGGAATGAAACGAGAACGCTTACATCTGTTGAGAAAGCTTTGATAAGAAGTTATCTAAAGAAGTCCTTGTCAAGCTTTCCTTGGCTAATGAGCTCTCTCATACATGGCAACATCGCTGTCACCGAGTTGTGTTGCAACCGTCTATTATGGAGTAGCTGTTATAAACTTTGCCGACTGGTGTTCTTTTACTTATATCTTCCCATTGTTATTTTGGATTGCAATTGATCAGTCTCATGTTGGCATATGTGCGTCCTGTGCGGATTGCCTCGATTATGCCTTAAGTCACAAGCTTTTTAAGCAAAGATGGATGGTGGCTAACATTGGAATCCAGGATGCACGATTCGTGCTATTTACGACTCTTCAACTGAATGTGTCTGCATCCCAAAGTTGAGTTCATAGTGTATTGGCTATATCGATGCAATCCACACAGGATGCACATATACCAACGTGAGACTGATCAATTGCAGTCCTAAATAATAATGGGAAGATACAAGTAAAACAACACCAAGCGAATTTAAACTTCACCCCATTGCACAAGCAGATAGCTATCAAAATTTAGTAGCTAAGTGGATAATGCGATGGCGTTGGAAGTGAACAGTGCCGGGCTCGAGTCCCGGAGTGAACATCAACTCTGGGGTGCAGGTACAGCCAACTGACGAGTTCCAAATGGGACGAAACGCACGCCCTGGATTCCACTGTTAGCCACTATTCATCTCTACTTTTTCGACTGGTCAGGTCTCCACATTTCAGCACAGCCCTTTTCAAGCTACTGTGAACTTCAGAAATCTCACTAGTAAATATATTAAGTGTAGCGTACCTGCTAAACAGCGCGGTAGTACGGTCACTACTGTGGGAAATTATGCGACTGGGTGCGTGCTACTTATATTGACATAAGTAGTATATAACGCGAGTCAGGAATGTAATGCCTGGCAGTTGAAGATTGGGAAGATCAAGAAAGGAAGAACGGCAACAGAAAGCAATTAGTATAGAAGTGCAAGAACAATGAAGTCCGAGACAATTATTGAACATTTTGCAAATTAGATATTATAGTATGGTTTTTCTATTTTACTAAGTAACTCTGTAATGTTGTGCTAAACATAATTCGGTTGTCCTCACCTGTGTTTTCCTTCACTACAAATATATTAAGTGTAGCGTACCTGTTAAACAGCGCGGTAGTACGATCACTACTGTGGGGAATTATGCGACTGGGTTTGTCACGGAAGTTATGGGAGTCAGCTTCTGAGTAACAAAACCAGGCTTAGACATTATGAGGTCAGAATGACATGGCTTGAAAGTAAGGAGCGCAGTTTTAACGTTTAATGTCTTGAGTGTCTATTCGGTCGTAATGAAGCTGTGCATTTTATTTTCAAGATAAATGACGACCAGCCGCTAAGTGCTAGTTGTCATATCATTTATGTACCTAGTAGATGTTTATGTACTCAGTCTTAAGTTACACTGTTTTTATGAGGGTCGTTTGAAACAAAGCTGACCGATATGACTTGACCTATGACGCAGTAGAAAGTTGTGTATCTTAGTTACTTGGACATCCAAAATGTAAACACAGCATCATACTTCAAAACGTTCTTTGCACCAATGATTGATTACCTTTTAATAACTAACTATAATATTTGAAGTGTTGGGCTGATGAGCGCAATCGAATGAAAGTTCTGGTTTTAAAATTTCTACCCAGGAACGAAACATCGACAACTCTGAAGTGCCACACATTCCATAAAAGATTTAAAAACACCAGTCACTGAGGTTGTCGGGTTTCGAGTGGACCCAAATCTTTAATAGTGACAAATATTAACTTAGGTGGTTATTATAGTTCAAATCCTATTGATAAAGTGTACTTTTATATAGTATCCTCTAAAATTAAACGGACATTCTACTTCAAAACATTTGAATATTGTAGCTTTGAATAAAGAAGAGCATAAGGATTGGGACAAACTGATTAAAAACACATCGGTGTTTTCTCTTTATGATGAGTTGTAGCACCGAAACCCCCACAATGTCTCGACGATCGAATTGGATATGAGTTAAATTATACTTACCTCTCTGGGACTAAATAATCGGCTCGATGCGTTCGGTTGAAGTACCAAGCAAAATTTAGGCACAATATTATTATACATAGAAAAATGATTTGAACTTTGTCTGACAATAGTGAATAAGAACCGTCTGGTTTAACTGAATATGGAACTGGAAGCGACTTTAACGCCTAACATTCACCAATGTGTAGCTTTCGAAGTAAAAGACTTTTTTAGAAAATAATTTTATTGGTATTTCTCGGGAATGCTATTGCATCTCGAATGTTAGCTATTCCCAAAACAAATTGCATAAGACGCTCGAAGCCAAGACCAAAACCAGCATGGGGAGCACTACCAGTACCACGTAAATTAATGTACCACTGCGACTGATTGGACTTCATGCGTGTTTGTAAACGAGAAGCAACATTCTCACGGACGCTGGCCCCAACTAGTTCGCCGATTCCTGGAAATAACAAATCAGCACACTCAGCTTCAATACCATTAATTGACTGACAGTAAAATGGTTTAAGTTCCATAGGAAAATGAGTAATGAAGACAGGACGATTCCCTCCAACCCAATCTAGGATTTTGTACTCCTCTTTTTGTTCAAATCCCGAGGTTTCGAAGTAGTAAGATCAGCTGTACCCATTTCTTTATTCAAGTACTCTATGGCTTCAGAATATGAAATGCAAACAAACGGTTGTTTCAGCATTGTTTCCAAAATATTTCTTAGCTCCAGAGCAGAATCAACTAGAAGACTTTTGCAATGGCTATCAGATTCAGATTGACTTCCAAGGAATGTTCGAATCAACACTAAATCATTCTGAAAAGTAAGAAAATCAAAGGATAGAAGATAGGAATCAACAAAAAATCGGCATTGGAAAGATCTTAAAGTCCTCTTTGTGAACTATATAAACCTTCTGAGTCAAGTGTGTATATTAGTATAAATTGATGAAAAATTGCAATAATGTTTTACACATATTTAACTGATTAGTACAAAGCATGCACAAAATTAGAAACTGATATGAGTAGATCCTTATTTCAGGAACGGAAACGTTTCAAATTAGAAAAAAATAAATGATAGATGTAGCAATGGAAATTTAGTCGATGTTCCTATGGTTAACGCAACTATTGACTATTATCAAAGATAACCGGAGAAGGAAATCAACATTTAGTTTCTTACATATAATTCACAATTTATGGTTTAATCTTTCTACCTAGAGAAGAATAGCACGAAATAAAGGAAGAGTACACAGCTTCTTACACTAACAATTCCATAATCAAGAGACTAAGTTTCACTATTATGTAATGCATATATATGTATATCCTGCAGCCAGATTAACCGGTTTTTAGGTTTCCCTATATCTTACATTTGTATTATGCTAAAGTCAGTTTCATGTAATTGGTTCACTCAAATTTACACTTTAAAGTAAATATATTCATACATTTAGATTTTTCCGTTAAGAGGTCATCGAAAAATAATATTAAATTTAAAAGAGTACTAGTAGATTCCTGAAGATGAACTAAATCGTTACATTTTATATGAAAAAGACAATAAAAGCTATGTAAGAGAAATTTATATAAAATATGATTGCATAAATAATAGAAGCAAAAGACATAACGATAGTAAACTTATTCGTACATATTTCATTCGAACACATAATAATCAAGTAGTTTGAAAAACAAACTCTGATTAAGTATAGATTATTTGGAGAGATTACAATTTAAGGACGAAACCAGTCAGACTTAGGATAACAAGTATTAGATTTTGGTGAGAATCGATTCATAAATTTGGCTAAATGGCATTTTGTCATTTTAGCTGATGTCAGTTCATGATGAAAACCCTAAATCTAATTCCTAACCCTAATTATCAACGGTAAATCATAATCCTTAGACCTCACATCAGTTTATAACAATTATTTAGCTCTATTAAGTAGATGAACACTCTCAAGATCACTCTAGCTTCGTTCAAAGGTCATCCATAAATTATAGTCCGAGATTATTCTCCACTATGAAAATCATCACTTCTACTGAATAGTATCACATTCATTCTAATAATGAAAAGACAAACCTGTTTGTCCAGTAGGACTGATATTTAACGCGTACTATTGAAGAACTATATATGCAACACAGTAAAAATCTAGACAATAACATTTTTTCAAGCGGAGTACAGGTTGTTCGTATTGCGATTTGAGCCATAACGTAAGTATAAAAGTTAGTAAGCAGTATTACTAAGCTATCCAAACAAAAATTTTACACAATTCGAAGTTGCAAAGTTCTAGACAATAATTGAATGATTTTATCTCCAAGCTACGAGTTGTAAAAATTGATTTTAGTACTTATTCATTGAATATAAACTTGCAATATTGAGTTTCATATAAAAACTAACCTTAAATATGCATAAATCCATCAAAATTACACATTTTATAAATTGGTAATTAACTGTCACTATTAATGATGAAATTGAAAAAAAAACACAACAAAACAAATACTCTTCCATTAGAATGAACGTCAATTTCAAAACATACTATAAATTCCATTCTTACGAAAAAATGAAACCATGTGAATTTAGCTGTTTTCTACAAAATGCATAAAATAACCAAAATATTTTTTTTTAAATTTTTACAAAAGAAATAGAAACTACATCTTATCATGTAAATAATTGATAATAAGCTTTGAGTAGTAGATAATTAGACTATACAATCATGTGAAATTGTAAAACATATAATCTACAATTGGATCAAGTGAATTCTCTTGCTCTTTCATCCCATTTGTCTTAAAATATTTAATTATTACAGAATTACTATGAAGCATGTGAGATACTTTAAACATCTGCTCTATGGGAATAAAATACTACTATTAATGGTATTGTTACTTGAATAGAGAAATTATTCTAAAGCATGAAACAAAGAAATACTACCTATTCCCATTAGAAACTTACACGCAAATATTTACAAATACCTACAACTTTAAGTACAAATATACACAAGTATGTATATGTGTATTGGATAAATAAAAAATTAACTATTGACTAATGTAATAATGAGGAAGGATGAATTTCATAAGTGTAAATAATAGAAAATTTCTATACAACTGATTAGAATATACAAAAAGCTTAGTAGGAAAGAAAAACTACTTCACTATTGAACGATTGAAAATGATCAGAAATAAAGTTTAAACATTTAATTATATGGATTAACTTAACAATAATAATAATAAAGGAATTAGAATATCATTTAAGCTTCATTAGAACAAATCCATCAGAGATCGAATAAAGATTAAAAAAAGGCTCTTACTTCTTATAGTATACACGTTTATGGTTAGTGAAGGTCGCACTAACAATAATAACACTCAAGGTTATTCACAGAAACGAAGAACAATAAAGGTAAGTGAACAATTAATAGATGAATGCAAACTGGTAAAGTATGTACCGAAATAATTAATTTCTGGTAAGTAATTTACACAGGAATTGTTGTATACATGCCAAACACCTTCTGAGATATGAAACGAGAAAACCATGTGAAGTGTGGAATCTCTATTTTCTTACGAAATTCAAACCATTTGAAGATGCTGTTGTACAGACTGAAGCCGAACATTATAGAATAAGTCTTACTCCGTTCACGATTAAGTTAACTAAATAAACTAGTCATAGAAGAATAAACAAATTCACGTTCACTTCATTCAATAGAATTGTTCAACATTTTGAAATGTCCATCACAGCAATGCAAATTCTATTAGAGAATGGCACGTTATGGTTAATCAGAGTATGTTTACAGGTTCGCTGCATGAATCAGAATTATCCAGTTAGTAAAAAAGAATAGAAATAGATCTACTTCTACGTATTTGGTAACAGAAACTGCTATCAACAGATCCAATCAAAAGTGGTGACCAGAATAAATGATCGGAAATTAATTAGTTCACTTAAAACTGCACATCCAGAAAAGATTATGTGATCTGACAAGGAAGTGCTTTTTTGTGTAACCATTGTATAATTAATCTTCATTGAACTAAAGATTTTGATTGGATTGCCGGACAGTAGGAATGTTGGATATCAAAAGTGTTTTCATTTGAAAACGATTTTTGAAGAAAATCATTAACTTAAAGGACTGTACGTTACCGAAACAATGCAATACATTCTAAGATTTGCTGAGTCTCATACTAACATTCTACAAACCACTTATCTGACCTAGTTGGAGCATAAATAACAAGTATACTAGAAATAAGTAACTCAATCGAACAGTCATAAAATACAACTTCAGCTGCTGTATCAAGGTAGCAGTTGCAGATAAGTCTTGTAATATTGTTTGCTTGTATTTTATTCCCAATTATTAACAATAAACAAATATTTAGTTTTACTCACTGAATAATAAGACTGAACTCAATAATTTAAACTACCCAGGAAATTGAACAATAATTCTTTGAAAAAGATTTCTATAAACTATTCAACTACGTGTTTTAGCACTAGGCTGCAATTTTTATTTATTATGTGTGGAAAACAGCAAAAGTAGGAAGTGCTGAATTATTAACTTTTGACTTAGCTGAAACCAATAAAGCATAGCGGTACTAATAAATCTCCCCGTTATAAAAAACATAACCTATTACTAGTAATAATAAAGAAGGAACATAATGAAAAACAAAGAATACATATATGTATATATAATTATTAATTACAAATTAAAGTAGATTTTATACATAATAAAAATGAATTGACCAGATAGAACTTAAGAATTGTCGTAAATTCCTTGAGTTGAGAACAATAAAGAAACAAAGAAATTTTCAAAGGTGTTTTTGTACTAAAAACAATGGAAAATATACAGTAATAATATAATCCTTTTCTACTGAAGGGGAAACAATTGTATGTATATAAATTTATTGAACAAAAAAAAGAATAATTTTAGTAACTGAACGGTTAATCAATAGTGTCAGTGATTCTCATTTGTGTCATGGTCAAGAATTTTTGTTAGAATGTCCTAAATTAAGATGAAATTAAACAATCAGAATAGAAGACAATTCATGATTTAAACAAAATTGCTATCTGTAAAGCAAAACTACTAGTTTTTAATCTTAAACAACTTAAATTGAAAAAGATAATCACCTAACTATAAAAGTTTATAAGAAAGCAATTACTTTAGAACAGTTGGAAATTTTTTTAATATAACCGCCAAATATTTTTATTTATTCATTTAATAAATAATACATATTGGATGAAATCAACTTACTTGTAATGCATTGAGTTCATTACCTCCTGAGATAGGATAAATTTCTAAACAGTCATTTAATATCTTTTTAATTAACATTTCAATTTCTCTACATAATGAATTAATATTATCTAAGTAAATTGACTCTGCTTCAAGCATGTAAAATTCTGCAAGATGATGTCTTGTACTTGAATTCTCAGCTCGAAATGTTGGATTCAATGTATAAACCTATTCGTTTTGAATATAAAGAAAAATAAATTAATAAAACAATCATTGAGTGTATAATAAAGAAAAAGTACTTATTTTTGAAATATCTGTAATTCTAGATAACGTAACAGGTAGCAATAAATGGTTTTGAAGTTTGTTTACATTTTAATTCGCTTTCAACATAGATCATCACTGTATGCTTTAGTTGATTTCTTCTTTTCTTATTTTCATTTGAAGATTTTAAATTTTGTCAAAAGCTTGTATGGTATGTGTTTTATTCATAATTATATATTTGCGATCATGATAAATGGAGAAGGTTGTATGGTATTAAAATGGTGCATTTAAAGAGGTCTTCAAAAGTACGTACTGATAGAAGTTTTCAGTCAGTTAGTAATAAGTGGGGTTCTTCAGACTTAAAAATTGTATATTATGAAAGAATTGCTTGTGTTGTTAAGGATCCTGATAGTGAAGTTTGGCAACTAGTAGTTTCCATAGCAGTTTAATGGCTAGATAAGATTCCATCTATGGATTAATTCACTATAGATACTCTAATTTTTTTAATAATAGTAACTTGTCAGTTCAGTCGAATCGTGAATGAGGACAAATCTTCATCAACAACACGTCGACTTTGCTTGCAAACTAACTAAAATTTGAAAACCTAATCATTAAATTTTAATTGATTATTTAATTAATAAATTGCTGGTCAAATGAGACAATTATACCATATTCGGACAAATATAAAATCAAAAAAGACTTATACTAAAGAGTCATGAAATAAAAAGAGGGGGATCCCTAGTACTGGTCACCCAGCTTTTTTAAAAAATACGACAGTTGTTATTTATTTACATAACCTAAATGGTGAAAAGTTTAACATGAGTTGAAAAACACCCTTTCAGTGTTCACGCAAAAAAGCCTACGGTAAAATATATGGACAGAATCCATATAAAGTAACTATTAGGCAATTATTAGTCCACTCAACTGATATTAATATAGGTCGACCAGTGTTGTCGCATTATATCAGTAGAGCGAGATAAAGTTATTAAGATGAATAACAAGTTTGAAGTAGTATCAGTGATTAGATTCGATATCATAATGCATTTCCCGTGAAAGCTGTTGAGTAGTTAGAAAAAAGGAGGAAACTAATTTATTGCTCATCGTCTGTTCTAGATGATTTATATACTTCCAAACTAATGAAATCTTTGCGAAAAGCACTTGAAAGGAATTAAGATAAATAGACACAAACAGTTCAGATTATCATATACAAATTCAGTGGGTGTGTACAGTCTATTAATATAACTTCAAGGTTACGGACGGAACGGATGGACACTTAGGTTGAGCCCCATTTCGATGACAGTAATACCCTTGGTAGTTTATAGACGAATTTGTGTCGTCTATGATAAATGGTTATTTTTAAATTATATCCGGATTAAATTGTCTAGAAAGGTAATGAAAACTTCAAGGATAAAACATCCAGCTCAAAGAACAAAATTCACTCAAAATCCTCTCCCTAAGCTCGAAATCTCCATAATCGCAAAATGGTCTGATATTTTAAGACCGAGAAGTACATAACAATATTAGAAACACTTAAAATCTCATATTTCCATGAGTAAACAACGAATTAACTTATAAACTAAACTATTAGAATATAATCAATTAGGCAGACATATTTAAGTAAACAAAATGTAGCTTGGTAAAAATATGGAGCACAATGTTGAAACGGAATTAGATAGCAAGCTTTCAACTAACCGGTCTGTTACTGAATAACATAAACTACAAGATCTACAACAAATGAAATCTTACACCTAAAAAATAGTAATAACTTGGTGAAATCCCAAACTGGTTTGTTACTATGATGCTACTCGTTTAACATCAAAGTCAATATGGTAAAGCAAGATGAATAATGTGAAATTTTAACTTCTTTAGAAATTTGATAACAGCTTGATTGACAAAGTATCAAGTTAATACTCTGTAAATCACTGGTTGGGACACGATCAACACCAAAGCCCATACCTTAATTTAATAATCCAATGATTTGCCACTTTTATATCATGTACTGAACAGCATTATAGCAAAAGTCGACTTAAAATCAGCAAGTTGGATCAAATTTTAATAAAGAAAATTTAATGATTCTTCAAAATTATATTCATCAGCAAGCAATGCTAAAGTATTATAAAGAGATAACTAATCAAATATCCAATCGAGACAAGTTTTAAAAGATAATTTACGAATAGTAAAATAAATGCGATCATAAGCTTTCTCTACGGTATGAGCTGGCTTTTAACGTACGAACACTTTGCCAAATAGGACAGCAGGCTTCCTTAGCTAAAACTTTAGAATCTCGCGCCATCGATGTGTGCTGCGTCTCCGAAACGCGCATACAGGATCCAAGTAGCGTCATTCATTTGACCTCACCATGCCAAAATAAAGAACCGACTCGATTTACGCTTCGTGTATCTGGAAGCCCTGATTCTGCTTCCCGTGGCCTCGCCGGCGTAGGTATAGCATTGAGTCCTAGGGCAGAACTAGCTCTCTTAGAGTGGATCCCAGTAGACAGTCGTTTGTGCGCTGTCCGACTGAACGGAACAGTAAGAATCCGGAAAGATAGGGACACTCGTCGTTGCCTCTTCGTCGTCTCTGCCTATTCTCCCACTGACTGCAGCTCAGATGATGTAAAAGATGAGTTTTACAGAAAGCTTTCGGACCTTCTCCGAAAAGCTAGGCGCTCGGATGTAGTAATAGTGGCCGGTGACTTTAATGCTCAAGTAGGTAAACTAAGCGATAGGGAAAGACACCTAGGTGGATCTTATGGTGTCGTGGCTCAAAGAACAGATAATGGCGACCGTCTGTTGCAGCTATGCTCAGATAACCGCCTGTTCCTTGCAAATACTAACTTTAAGCATAAGGAAAAACATCTTTTAACATGGCGACCCCCTAATTCGTCCCAACGTTGGACCCAAATAGATCACATCGCTATCAGCCACCGATGGAGGGGCTCGATAGAAGACTGTCGCTCATTCTGGAGCACATGCCTAGATTCAGATCATGCTCTAGTGCGAGCGCGTATTTGCTTGCGTCTTACTGGACGTAGGAAAGACGCTGCAAGGAAACCTCTTAGGGCCTACTTAATGATAGTCAAGCTAAGAGTATATTTCAGGAACAACTAGGAAAACAGTTAGGCAGCCATGTATGTGATGCCCACCCCGATGCAGCATGGAATGATATCCGAAAAGCTGTGGAAACAGCAGTGATATCTGCTAGTAAGGTAAACCAGAAGGTTAGGGAGCAACACTGGATCTCAGCAGCATCTATCGCACTGATAGATGCTCGGAAACTCATTCCACCTGGCTCTGAACATAATGAAGAGCGGAGTCAGCTTAAGCGCAAGCTGACAAGAAGTCTACGCAATGATCGCGAACAGTGGTGGGTAGCGAAAGCAAGAGAGATGGAAAAGGCAGCGGCAATAGGTAATAGCAGACAATTGTTCAGACTCGTTAAGGAAACCGGAATTAGGAACCCGACCGTTAGCGAAACAATCTCAGAGAAAGATGGACATATTATTCATTCTCAATCCAGGAGATTGGATCGATGGGCAGAACACTTTAGGGATCAGTTCAACTGGCCTTCAGCCACACTTCGGTTTCCCACGATCTCCAGTCAACCTGAATGGCAAGTTAATGTAGGTCCTCCGTCCCTTTACGAAGTTGAAAAAGCCATAGGAAATCTGAAACGAGGGAGAGCAGCAGGCCCTGACAGGTTTACTCCTGAGATTTTTAAGGATGGTGGTCCAGTATTAGCAATGAGATTAACTGAGGTCTTAGGTAGAATTTGGGAACTGGACGTAATCCCATCTGACTGGTCTCAATCACTGATTGTGCCAGTCTATAAGAAAGGACAAAAGTCCTCTTGTGACAATCACAGAGGAATCAGTTTGACTAATATAGTGTCTAAAATATTAGCTTCAATAATACTTCGACGCCTAATCAAAGCTCGTGAAGAGCAGATTAGAGAAAACCAGGCCGGTTTTCGACCTGGACGTGGTTGTATAGATCAGATATTCACACTACGTCAGGTTCTAGAACACAGACACACATTCAGACGCCCCACAATGGTAGTATTTCTCGACCTTAAGGCGGCATTCGACTCTGTTGATCGTGAGGTTCTATGGCAGTGTTTGTCACTGAAAGGAGTACCAAAGAAGTACATTAACCTTATAAAGGCTCTCTACTCGAACACAACTGGTAGAGTGAGAGCTTATGGCGAACTGTCATCAGAATTGATTACCTCAAGTGGTGTTCGTCAGGGCTGTCCACTCTCCCCATTCTTGTTCAACTTTGTGGTCGACGTACTTTTAGAGATAACACTCTCCTCATCTAAATTTCCAGGGGTTGAACTTCTACCAGGAGGTTCACTTGTTGACTTAGAATATGCTGATGACATAGTTTTATTTGGTGAAGACGCTGACAAAATGCAGAGTCTTCTGACCACTCTAAGCAACAATGCAAGCATGTTCGGGATGCGATTCTCTCCCTCGAAATGCAAAATGTTGCTTCAGGATTGGGTTACATCGACACCCGAACTAGTGATAGGGAGTGAAGTAGTTGAGTGTGTCGACCGCTTCACTTATCTTGGAAGTCTCATCAGCCCTTGTGGTTTGGTGTGTGACGAAATCTCAGCACGGATACAGAAGGCTCGACTAGCTTTTGCCAACTTGCGTCATTTATGGCGTAGGCGAGATATCCGTCTATCAACCAAAGGACGGGTTTACTGCGCAGCAGTTCGTTCCGTCCTACTTTATGGCAGTGAAACATGGCCGGTAAGAGTAGAGGATATTCGTAGGTTACTAGTATTTGATCATAGGTGTCTTCGAAACATTGCTCGTATATCATGGGACCATCGAGTAAGTAACACAGTTGTTAGGAAACGGGTACTAGGTAAGGATGGCAAATCAATTGATGAAGTAGTGAAACTTCATCAGTTGAGATGGCTGGGACACGTGTTACGTATGCCCAACGACCGACTGCCTCGACGTGCTATGTTCAGTGGTATAGGAGTAGGTTGGAAGAAAGCTAGGGGCGGCCAAACCAAAACATGGCACAAGTCCATGAAGTCACTGACAAGTGAACTGAGTCATGTTGGTAGGTGTAGACTACCTGGTTGGGGACCGCGAGATGATAGCAACCGATGGTTAGAGACCCTGAATGACATGGCTCAAAATCGTTTGCAATGGCGCAGGTGCATCCACTCTCTGTGTTCTCCCAAATTCTAATCTTCTGAATCCTTCATGTCCCTTTTTTCCTCTTTCCAAATTTATTTCACTGGATTATACTCTTTAAATAACATCTCCAAACCCTAATCTTCCCGATTACTGCTTATACTCTTGCTACCTCTACCACTACGGGATTTGAATCGACAACTGCATCTCTGTGCTAATGTGGTGTGGCAACTCGAACTGATGTACGTACGTACGAAGTTCTACGTTGTTACTGACTGACTGACTATTTGATAAAAAGCAGTAAAGAATATTCCCACTCATAGCATTAGGGCTGATAGAACCAAAAACAGAGATAAAACACTTTAGACCGCAAGTAAAGGGGAATTTATCACAGTAATCATTAACAAAGAAAATTATACCAGCAAGAACGTATAACAGCAAGATTAAAATGTCACGAAATAGAACATGTGAGTTTTATTCACCTTACTTAAACCCAGAGCAAGAGATTCCAAATGCATCTGAGCACTACCGGTTAAATATACACTTGAACTATCGGATTCCCTAGTCTCATTAGGCGCAGGTGCTTGAACTTGGAACATCTGACCAGTGCCTTCACAATCTGTTGAAGTGAGGATCGGAGTATCAACCTGAAATGCAGAAATGTTATTTTAAAAAGAACGAAAAGATACTGAGCAAAAATTTTGAACTTTCTGTACATTTCAGACTTGAAAATTAATGACTTTATACACTGATTTAACATTTTCAAGGGACCAAACAGAAATCCCACCACAAAACATAACAAGAAATTTACAATATCAAGATAGATTTTGACAACTAAACATATCAACACAAGTGTTATACTGCACTAACTGGAAAGAACTTGACAAATTTATCCTTCCCAAATACTGAGTTTATGTAATCTTGCAATAAGAAATTTATCTGATGAACAAATGAATTATTCACTAAGTTTGAGTGTCAATCTACATGAAAGAATAATAAGTCTCATCCTTTAAATGTAAAAATTTACATAGGTTAGTGTGTAGACAAAAAGTGACTAAAATGGTGCTCCCTAAAAATTATTAAACGTATAAAATGATTGGTTTATAAATCCCCGAGTTGGTTAGCAAGCATTACGCATCATTAATTAATGTTTAAAAAATAATAACAACTGATCAACATTAAAGCTAAGTAACTAAGAAAAAGGGAGAGGAAACACAGAAAGCAAATTAGTGAGGATAAACAAATAAATATCAAAGAAAATAGGACGATTGGAACTAATAGTAAGAAAATGTTCAATGAGTGATACAATGTTGGCATGAATTTCATTTTTAAGTTGATTACAAACACTCAGTGTTCACTGAGTCCATCCAGCTTTAAATAAGTTAGTTTATCAATCACATTGGTTATAATCTACGTACAATCTGGAACAAATTTGTGTTTATTTTACCTACCAGTATCAAGTCACCACAAGAACGCAAAATTAACAAGATAAATACCAAAGTTTTCTAAATAAATGTAGTATCAGTCATAATGAAGAAAAACACTGAGAATATTGTTAGAGAAGGAATGCAAATACTTATGTGTAGAGTAACTTGTGAAACTGAATACCTAAAAGAAGACATACAGTGGATGCATCTCCGCCACAGTGAACGATTCTGAGTCATGTTAACCAACATCTTCAACTACTGATTACGGTTATCCAAGCAATACATATAACTCAACATTACCGGACACCGATATAAAGATTGCTCTAAAAACGTTCATCAGCAGAACAAATCTAAGGAAGCTTATAAATGTCATGCTATTTATTATTTACCAGTCACTTTTATTCATCACAAATACAAGCTAATTATTATTGTGATTACAAAACTTACAATGAACTATTAATTATTTGTATATAATTAGGTGTATCCATTAACTTCTCAACTTAAACTTGTGTTTTTTTAGTCCCAAGAAATCTTGGTTAACTACGATCGATGTTTTCCTTTAAATCAAGAACGAATGTACACATGGACAAAACATATACACACAAACACACTACAATTGCCATAACAACCCTATTATCTCATCTAAGAAAAACCCTATACGTTTTCAACAATTTTATGATTGACAAGTTGACAGTAATCATATTTATTCAATTTTAATGAAATCATCAGCCGATCAATGTTAGACCACCAATGAAAACCTTAATGATTGCCTTACAAACATCTGTTTCGTTCTAATATGGAACTCCCAAACAGTGAGCATTGACGACCATGTACGCGAGGTCGCGAGACATCTTGAATTTATTGAGCTTAAACTTGAACACCGTTGTATACAGGTTCAGTAGTCTAGAGGTTAAGCGTTTGTGCTCGAGACCGAAAGTCCAAAGTTTAAATCCCGCGTATAGGGTCGTGGGTGAGCACTGCTGAAGAGTCCCATACTAGGACGAAGAGACCATCCGGTCCTCCCAGGTTTTCAGTGGTGGTTTAGCATTGATCGGCTCATGATTTCAATGAAATCCAACAGTCTCCACAACCCAATACTTGAAATTTTCAAATCATAAAATAAGGTAATCGGTTTAAAATTACTAATTCTACAGTTAAGTGGATTAGAACGCACAATAATTAGAAGTTCCATATTTTAAAAGGAACTACGACGATGGCCCATGGTAAAAGCCAAGATTCCTCGGAAGTCACGAGGCCGATGCTCCTTCTGAGAAACAGAAAAACTATTAATATGGTTACATGGACAATGTAGGAGACAGAGAGGACAAGTCAAATAGCTACGGAAATGATAAGATACAACTTGGCAGTTCTCGGAATAAGTACAGCTCATTAAACACAAGCTGGACAGAAAGGATTAGATTCGCGAGAGGTGTTGTTGTACTCCGGTCATGAAGAACCACCTATAAGATGGAAATCTCATGAATCCAGAATCATCAAAGTAACCTTCAAAACAAAGAATGAGGGGATCACAATGAATGTTATCCAGTGAAGATGTACATACATAGACAAAGGTTACATAATAAAATACTTGCATTCGAAGTATAGAACTTTCCATCTAACTAACCAATATTCTCAATTGGATTCAATGCTCCCAAAAACATCTGAACTGAATTTTCAATTAGGATATTGGTCATTCAACTACTACTACTACTACTACTACTACTACTACTACTACTAATAATAATAATAATAATAATAATAATAATAATAATAATAACAATAATAGTAATAATAATACGACTAATACTGACAGTAATATAAAATGGTCTGTAATTGCATAGAGTACATTGATAACTTTGGAATGTCGTAATTGTTTCTCAGTATGTCATGATAATATATCTTCATTTAAATCTATATTGTTTGCTACTTGGAAGAACAGAACTCAACTATTTTTATTGACAACTAATAGTCAACTTCAAATAGAATTTAATAAAAGAAATCAATAACACACAAACACACACGCAACCATTGAGAAGCATACATAAATATCAACAATATCATACAAAAGTTTTTCTTCTAAAAAACCACCGAAACGAGAAAAACGTTAGCTCAACATTATACTTTGTAAAACAAAGTGAAATTTGTACTTTTAAGAGAGAATTTAAATTAGTAGATGGTTATTTTATAGAAATTAGTTTTGCTGTGTATTAGCATAAATTATTTATTACAAATTACAATAATTGTTTTATGATTCATTGGTTTAGGTACTCACACTCCAGCAAACCAATGATTTATATGGTTTGAAACCAATTCATCGAACTAATAGAATTTAAGCAATCGGGTAATTTGATTACGAAATAGATATATATTCATGTGTATAAGTTTTTAAAATTGTGCTATTATTATTTTCTTAATGAAAACAAAAATTAAAATGCATCAAACCGTACTATTATTAAACGGTTTGAATTCAAATCTTCATTTCTATAAGTGACTGATCACTGGATGGTGACCAATGTCATGTTTGTCTAGTATTTTATTGCTGAAAAAATTTTGTCGAGAAAGTTACAATTTGACCAGCAGACAGCACAACATACAAAAATGGTCATTACTCAGTGACCAGTCAATGACACACGTCTAAGTTGTCGGCTACCCGAAAAGCTCAGTCAGTGTTTTCATCAGACCAAGCGAATCGACAGTCAGATGTAATTACAATGACAATAACTAAATGTTTACATGAAAAGATTATTTATCGAATTTTATGACAATCAGAGAGGTCAATAAGCGACAGAACTGATTCCCTACTTCCAATAATTATTGTATAATTCTTCATGATGACAAAGAAGCAAACAAATGGTCTCATTAATTCAAAGCATTTATAAAATTTATGAATATGAAAGACTTTAAGATAAATTAACAAGTACAGTAGTATTTATGTTGGGATATTCAGGAAAATATCCCCAAAAAAATTATCCTGTTAAGGCTAATGCTATCCTTGGACATGAAATGGTATCATCTTATTGGTCAATGTTTATTTAACGTGTCATTTTCCTACTGGCCATTATTGTACAATGTTATTTCCTATTTTATCGTACGTTGTGGTCTGCTTGACTGGTATATAAACAAAGTATGTTTGAAATACAATGATTCATATCTCCGAGGCTGTCACTTGTGTTCTGGACTCAACTGGCTGGGTTAGATAGGGAAGCGAGACCAATCAGAACCCTAGGTCGTTCTACGTGTTTGTGCGTCATTGGTCCGATCAATAATTCCCTACCCTTAATCCGCAGCATCATTTTCACAGTTATACCAATTTACTAATATTAATTACTGTTGTAGTTGTGTAATTTGGTAGGGATAAGTGCAATATCAACATGATTTTTGTTTCGAACCGAGATATTAGTCAATGAACTATTGGAAGTTATAGGAAACAATACAGCTATTTATATCTCGACTTGGGAATATTTGGTAACGTATGCTTATGGAATTATGCGAAATCAAACATCAGCGTTCACGTTAGGCGGCAACCACATATTACTCTAAACAGCTGAGAACATTGATCACTCTCTCTGGAAGAAACCCATTCTTAACTAGTGTTCCGTGCTGATTGATAGAATCCTAACAATAAAACATGAAGTGGAGTTAGTAAACTAAGTAAAACATAGTAAGCATTTCTACCCTTGTCAGCTGAATGTACCTGCATCTTAGAGTTGATGCTGATTCTGGGACTCGATCCTGTACCATTCACATCAAATGCCATCACGTTATTCACCTAGCTATTGAGTCCGGATAGTCACCGGCTTGTGCAACAGGATTAATTTTGATTCATATATATTGATTATTTGGATCTTCCTATTCATGTTTAGGGCTATAATTGATCAACTTCTTTTGGAAAACGGACATCCTACGTGAACTGCCTCGATAATGTCATTAAGTTACAAGCGTTATAACTAGAGATGGATGGTGGATAATAGTGGGATCCGGGATACGAGTTTCTTCCTAGCTAAGTGGACAACGCGATGGTGTTTGGACCGAACAGTACTGGGCATGTTCTCGTGCAGTGAATAAGCTTATTTTACTGTACCCATATATTTCAATCAACAAAACATGTTGACCTCACTCAATATCCGTACACCCCCATTGATGAAAGAAAGCCTGAAACATGATTGTATGATTTAGTAACTTAGCAAGAAAAATGCAAATAACTTCTATCCAGATATATTTTTAATATTTTCTGTATCAAGTTCATTTCAACAGCTTCATAGATTATCATCATTATGATCAACATAATAATAATAATAATAATACCATTCAACGTAAAACATTTTTGATATATTTCAACTTTCGATGATACACACCTGTTATTTACAAACAAAATTACATTTCACATATTCAATAGTATTTTGATCGGATACATTATTGGTTGTAGTAGCAGTAATAACACAACTCGAGATTTTCAATTAACCTACTTCGTCAAGTTCTTTACGAAACCAATTCCATTGATAAAAAATTTTACAGCTGAAATGAAAAGATTTGCAAAGTCATATACCATCTATATACTTTTTCCATAATGGCGTCTTTTCTTCATACAACCCAGATATTGTAAACATGTACCGAAGCATGATAAGTTGCATTTATTACGATGATCGACTTATTCACCGAGTACACATTTATGTACTCGATTTTAAGCCACACCATTTGTATGAGCACTTGCAACATTACCCGACCGCCCTAATCAAAGAAGGTGAATTGAGGCATGAATCTGGGACCTATTGGTTGAGATTCAAATCCTTTAGTCACTTAACTACCGCTTCATGATAAAAATCAAACAAAATATATGGATGAATGAAACCGTTCAGGCATTTTCGTCTTTCATAAATGAAAGCAATACACATAAAGCCGTATCTCAAGACGTATACCATCTAAATTATTAAGACAGAATTTATGGACGAACTAAGATTGAAGTATAAAATTATATCATAAATTTTCCTAGAATAATATTTCCACATTGAAAAGTAAACAGACTGCAATAAATCGATCAAAGATAATGTCCATCTTGTTAAAAACTCCATATAAAAAATATACTTAAATGATTGATAATCCTATTGAATAAAAGGTTAGTTAACAATATGTAGTAGGGCACTACCATATTACAAATTTATGTACGCAAGTTAAGGGAGATCTTTTCCAAATATGATACATCAACTCTGGGATGCAGGTACATCCAGCTGACGACTCCCAGATAGGACGAAACGCGCATCCTGGGTCCCACTTTTAGCCACTATCCATCTTTGCTTATAAAGGTTGTGACTTAAGGCAATATCGAGGCGATCCGCGCAGGACGCACATATGCCAACAAGAGACTGATCAATCGCAGTCCTAAACAACAATGGGAAGATACAAGCAAACAACACCAAGTGAATTTTGATACATACACATGTTTTAAAATTAAATTTTAGAAAAGTGATTGCTTTGAATATTTACCAATGTTATTAGTGAACAGTTTAATATAATTCCTCTCGTTGAAATAAATGTTATAGCCAGCTAAATTGAATGGACCGTAGTGGATTAGAAGTCAAAACTACTTCTTACTTTCGATTACCTGAAGCCTAAAGAATCTCTTAACAATATGAGTTTCAGTGTATACAAGAATATGCAATTTTGATTTAACTAAACAATTAACAATACGTAGAAGTGTCGTACTTCAACCAATCAAATTAATACATAATAACTAATGAAATATTTATTATCATTAATTCATCAGTAAACATACCTCTAAGTAGTCACATGAACTCATCACTTTTCTAACTATTCGCTTAATATGGGCACGCATTCTAAGCATTGCACCAAACTCAGGCAGTCGATGACGCATAGATAATGCTTCAACTGAGCGTAAAACTCCTAAATCAGGTCGTGGACTATGCCGACCGAGTGAACTTATCATTTGATTTATCGTAGGAACACTGTGATTAAAAGGAAGAGAAGCATTGTTAATTGACTTTTCAAGTTGTAATTCTCCAGCTTGATTTTCAGTATCCAAAATATTAACAATCTTAGCGCGTAATTCTCCACAACATTGAACAGTAGGTTTATCAATTGACAATTGAGATGTTTTTAGAACATTTGGAATATGATAGATGTCACCTTCAACTGACAAAGCGCAACCAACGGTTATCTTATCAGTAATCTCACTAGGCGAAGTGACAACCTGAAATGTAATATTAGATAGACAATAAGTACAAGAAAAGTGAATATGTAGAATGAAACCGAATGAACACCTTGAAATAAAAATCTGTCAAGATTAAATGAACATTAAGGAAAAGGTGCTCACTCAACTACCTGGCGAATGAATTTATATTATTTATACACGAATAGAAATAAATGAACTATGACGTAGATAGAAAGCGCTACAAATATTACAAAATTTAATAACCACATTTACACTAATAAACTGTCTCTTGACCATAAATATTATGTGAAAGTTGGTACTAACAAAGATAGGATCATGTTATGCACACTATTGAAGTAATGGCTTAGTAGTTAGTGCAATTAACTCCCACTTGACGGGTTACATTTTTTAACCACACTTCACCTGCGTTATTTTGTGCAACAAGATAATAACACTAGCCATAATCTGAATGACGCAAACCATAGATGATTTTGCAAATCCGCACTTGGCAAACAAGTATCCAAACTTTGGTGTGTGAGATGGAGTTTGAACACATGTCTGTACAACTGAAAATCGAATACATCATTAGTGAGAACCAAGTATCTGAAACTTGGCTTTACGTTGTTATCTGACATAAGTTCTGATGCATACCAATTAGACAAAAAAGTTAACAACCGGATAATATGAGACAAGAAAGTTTTGAATGAAAGATAATGAATTAGAAATTATACCTTACTTGCAAATCATAAGGTGAAGAACCATCTGATATATTACAAAATACGCAAGATTTATGCTTTCTAACAGATTGAACCCATCCAATTACTTTGACATTTTTACATATCGCTTTATTCTCATTACATTTTGTCTTATCCAATGATACTATTGAGTGAGCATCCTTTTCCTTAGCTGAATGACTAGATCTGCATTGAATATTTAGAAAATCTTGTTTATGTAGATTTGAGACAATATATTTGAAATATAAGCGGTAATTGTTGTACAATGATGTTGGTAAATTAAATTTTCGATGAATCAACATTAAGAAACAATGGAAAAGTTGTAATCCTATTGTAAAGTAAGTGGTAATACACATAATAGTAATAATAATAATAATAAATGATATATTACACACATATACTAAGATCGTCGGCGTAACTAAAGGTATGCATATAACGTTAATAACAAGTGCCAAATAATTTATTTAGAAGTTAGTAAATTGTCAAAATAATTTAAACAAATTACATTTAGTAATGGCTTTGACAATATTATTAATCTAGACACCTAAGCAGTATTACACAGTGAATACATACATGGAATTGATTGTTCGTCGATTCACCATAGTGTAAATGTTATCATTAAATGAGATGAAAGCACATGTTCTCTTTGTAATATGTACTTTATTTTCTAGCTATCTCAAAAATGATTAACAATTGATGCGTGTACACGTATGCGAAATTTACAAATTAAGATGTTAACAGTAATTCAATCCAGAAGACCCACAGTTACATAGTTTCAAATGAAACTACAATCAAACGTTATTAATATTTTATTCAAAATATGTGACTTAATCCTAAAATGTTTAATAACAGATTATTACTGAAAACAGAGTGGGAAACTTTGATGAATATCCACATATATATTTAATGAATTCAAAATTACTAACAATTTTTCAACGTTCAGTAAAATAACTTTACCCTGGAAAACATAATAAAAAGTCATATTCTAACCAAGAATAAATGAGTGGTAACTGATAGGAATTATTTATGGACTATTATTACATATATTCTTACTGGATAACTATTAAGTAACTATATTATATATATATTCATATTCCTTTTATTATAAGCTTCCATCTGACCTATTGACTATTATTATAGGACTTACAATTCTTTAGATTTTCCCATTTTATTAGTTACAGTCTCTCACACTCGCAGTCACTTTCGACTTGATCTTGTATAATTGTTATTTTCTACTGTATGATGTGATACGGTCTGGCTTGCTTGTATGTAAACCAAGTGTGTCTGAAATATATGGTTCATACAGTGGAAACTGAGATTTGTGTTCTGAACTTAAACGGACAAGACTAGGCGAGCAGATCCAATAAGGACTTAGAATTGACTCTAGGCTGCTCGTACTGGTCAACACGTCATTGGTTTGGCACAGGGCCAAAGTCGTGTAGGTCGGTGTTGCAATCGAAAGTTGCACCTGTTGAAAAGAACATATTGCCAACTGAGGACAAAAACAAAACCCAACAATTATCAGTCAGTACTAATGATTTACTGATGCTTTCACGACGATTTTAAACTCTAGAAGCAATGTTTATACAAACAAACACTGAGAAAAAAACATCCATTCCAAACACAGGACATTTCCAAGTATAGTAAGGACAATATGGAACCGAGCCTTGGATAATGGAAACTTTACTTATTGTGTGCCACTAATCGGGGAATAACCAGGTACTGTAGAGATACCTGACAAATGGAACTGATTGAAATATTATATGGCCCCTCAACCTCCTAAACAATTATGTACGAGGCTATACGCTACATGTGCAGTGTACAAGTTAACAATCCTTATATATTTAGACAGAAGTGAATTAAGCAAAGATGGATGGTAGCTAACAGTGGTATCCAGGACGCGCGTTCCGTCCTAGTCACTATCCATCTTTGCTTATAAAGGTTGTGACTTAAGGCAGTATCGAGGCGATCCATGTAGAACGCAAATATGTCAACAAGAGGCTGATTAATTGCAGTCCTAAACAACAATAGGAAGATACAAGCAAACAACACCAAGTGAACTTAGAAGTGAATTAAGTTTGAGATTATGATAAAAATGAATGAAATCACAGCGCTTTGACCAGGTTAGCCAAAGCACCATGAAGCGTAGTAATAATACAAACTTTGTCGAACGACACTATGAACCTGTAATTCATTTGTACGGTATGCTAGAGGACTGATGATGTTAACTACCTTTCAGGACACAATAAAAAAAGATGTCTGATCGCAAAGCGTATCTCTAAAATTAAGGAAAAAACTTAATAAATCTATCTGTTCATTACAACCAATTCGTTGCATTTTAAAATTATCATTGATAATAATATTCATTTGAACACAGTTAATACGTCAGCCACTAATTTACTGGTTTAATATTACAATACTAATATATATAAGAAAACAAGTGGCAGTAAAGTAATAGGACAAATCTAATTTCACAAAGAAAGAATAACAACGACAGCGAACTAAATAATGCAATTTTAGACCATGTTACTGAAAATCGCACAACATATGTCTTTATCTTTTTCAAAGAGAAAATAAATATGGAAACAAGAAATTTCAATTATTTCCACTTCTTCACGTTATTATCTTTTTCACATTGTCATACGATTTTAAAAATGCGATAACCAAAGTTTATACATAATCGCGTGAAAATTTATGCTTAGCTACAAGTAACAAGGAAGGATGTTTTTACTGAAATTTAATAAAAATCACCTACTTCTCATGGTGAATTAAATAATTACTACACAAGGCAATGAAGTGAAAAGTGATGGATTATAATATTGAGAAAGTCGAATTTAAGATTTAACAAAATTATTTTTACTAGACGTCATTCAAAAAAATAACACCATATCAAACTTAACCGTTTCAGATAATAGTATACAATGATTGGATTTATTTTATCAGATGAGACTAAACAACTAGCCCCATGGTAGAAATTTAATATACGTATCAGGATGTAGACTACTCGAACAGATAAGTCGATATCTTGTTGATGCTATTTCCTCACTTTGACTTCAAAACGTGATGACCAATTAACTGTGAATTTCTAAGCGGGCTAACTATCAGTATCGCCTTAGATTTGCACAAGAATATTCAGAAGCTAAAATACGAGTTGTGTTGGGAAAGTGTGTATTGGTAAAAACTAATTAAATTCAAAAGCACACGATGAGCAAGAACATTGGAAGGTGAACGAGTAAACAGTGGGGAAATAACCTCAACAACCCCTGATAAATAAAAGTTTATTATGTTTTCAGATTGTCACAAGTAGTGTGGTGCAGAAGACAGTCAGTCAGTCAGAAACAACGTAGAACTTCGTACGTACATATGTCAATTCAAGTTGCCATATCACATTAGCATAGAGATACAATTGTCGATTCAAATCCCATAGTGGTAGAGGTAGTAAAAGTATAGGCAGTATTCAGAAAGATTTGGGTTTGAAGATGTTAATCAAGGAGTATAATTCAGTGAAATAAATTTAAAAAGAGGAAAAAAGGAGCATGAAGAATTCAGAAGGTAAAAATTTGGGAGAACACAAAGAGCGGATGCGACTGCACCATCGCAAACGATTTTGAGCCATGTCATTCAAGGTTTCTAACTATCGGTTGCTATCAACTCGCAGATCCCAACCAGGTAGTCTACACCTACCAACATGCCTCAGTCCGCTTGTTAGTGACTTTACGGATTTGTGCCATTTTGTGGTCAGGCCGCTCTAGCTTTCTTCCAATCTACTCCTACATCATAAAGCATCGCTAGTCGAGGCAGTCGGTGATTGGGCATACGTAAAACGTGTCCCTATGGTGATGACGCAACCGAGCTATATTGGCCGGAACATATGTTCCTGTAGGTTCTACCATGCCAGGCAGGTCGATTGGAGAACGGTAAGACTAAAAGCAGCAGCTCGAAGTCTGAGGGCGAAGTCGTACTGCTGACTGTAGAGGGGTGTGACAGCAGTAAGGTGTTTCCCTCGGACAACTAGCATCTGCAGTGTTGCTGCCTTCTCACAATGAAGGAGGTGGTTGGAAAATGTTGAGCCTAAAAATGTCACACCTCACCTTACCTCACGGATTTCCATCTCCGGTGGTAAGGCACTTTGAAGAACGGAGCTAACACATCAAAAACCTCCCACAAAAAGGCCTTGCGCAACCGGTCTCAAGCAGTTGTCCCTTGGGCTCCACGGTCACGCTCCCCGGTCGCTAAGACCAACACTAATCCAACTTCCTTTTCAGGTTCCTCAAGAACATTTTTAAGACTGAAAATAGATATCTCAGCATTTATTTACTGAGTGCAATCATAACTAATATGTGACGCTTTGAAAGATTGATATGGTAAAAGATATTAGAATGGACCTTTATCAACTGCTTTTTAATTTGTGTAACATTTTTACATTATTTTTCAGTCGCCGCATTTTTACTAATCACAAAGAAACTGGGTACTGACTAGGAAATAAAGCGCACAGTTTGGTCCTGCCAAAACCATTCCACAAATTCATCAAAAACTCAGACAACTCAAATTTTAAACGCGATGCATTTGCCAAATAGAGATCTATATATTAGGCTTAGAGGTCCATTATTTTCAGTGCAGACACTCAAGAAATACGCAACAATGCTACAGTGGTGCTCAGTCATTGGATATCCATATAGCATGGAATTTCGTAAGGTAAAACTAAGATATGCAACACAATTATTACTTACAACTGTTTAAACTGTGCCATATGTAATCAGTCAGTCAGTCAGTAACAACGTAGAACTTCGTACGTACGAACATCAGTTCGAGTTGCCACACCATATTAGCACAGAGATGCAGTGGTCGATTCAAATCCCTTAGTGGTAGAGGTAATAGGAATAAGCCGTAATCAGGAAAATTAGTGTGTGGAGATGTTATTTAAAGAGTATAATACAGTGAAATAAATTTGGGAAGAGAAAAAAAAGAGACAAGGAGGAGTGAGGAGATCAAAATCTGGGAGAACACAAAGAGTGTATGCACCTGGGCCATCGCAAACGATTTTGAGCCATGTCATTCAGGGTCTCTAACCATCGGTTGCTATCATCTCGCAGTCCCCAACCAGGTAGTCTACACCTACCAACATGACTCAGTTCACTTGTCAGTGACTTCATGGACTTGTGCCATGTTTTGGTTTGGCCGCCCCTAGCTTTCTTCCAACCTACTCCTATACCACTGAACATCGCACGTCGAGGCAGTCGGTCGTTGGGCATACGTAACACGTGTCCAAGCCATCTCAACTGATGAAGTTTCACTACTTCATCAATTGATTTGCCATCCTTACCTAGTACCCGTTTCCTAACAACTGAGTTACTTACTCGATGGTCCATGATATACGAGCAATATCTCGAAGACACCTATGACTAAAAACTTACTATAACAGTAGGAATGAAGACTGAAAATAGCAGTGATTTTGTTGTGAACTAGAAGCAAGCTTTTTGACAAGATACGTACACGTATGATACAATGTTTAGAGAAGTTTGCAACAAATGGACGTTTCATGAAGATTTCAATAACTGAGCATCAATAAATGTACGGAAGTAATGGACTTCGACTCAATTCCTTGAAGAGAACTGAGTCATGCGATTTTAAATAATTAGTTTATATAACTTCATATTCTAAGCGAACAACTGAATGACATCCGGTAAAACATTTTCTGATACCAATCTGCTGTGTATTAGGTGAACAATAGGCATAATAGCGATGATAATGTTTAGTAACATTTATAGGAAAATCAACAATTTACGTTTAGAATAATTCACCTGTAAAACGATAAGGATGTTCTGTAGAGTTATTGAGCTAAAATTAAGTAAATTTACTTTTGACTTTGACAGAGTTGGATCGTTTAAGTGGTGGGGTTTAACTGCGAAGCCTTCACAGTCTTTCTATATATCATTATCAGTAAAAACTTAAGATGGAAGTAATCGACTCGAATCTATCCACATGTTTGTTAGGAAATGGTAGGGTAACTTCAGATGGTCTGTTTAGTAGGACCAGCTAAGTTGAACTGCGTTAAGAGAAGCAGTGAAAAACGTGTTTGAGCTGGGCTAACCTACTACATCAAGACATCAACAATCATACTTTAAAACAATATCTTACGTCCAGCCGAAAATTATTGAAAACAGGAAATTTATCTGAAAATAATTATCATTTGCAATGTACATGTGGTTTGGTCGGTGAAATAAGCTATTTTAATCTAAAAAGACAACAGTTTAAGTAACAATAGTAAAAAGCAGTTGTGGGACGTTTATGTGCTGGAAAACAATGAATCTCTCATAACCAAACAATCGGTCAAGAACGAAAATATGGGAAACGGTGAAAAAGCTGAGATAACGAAGTCTGAAAAGTATAACACAAAGCAGCTACATAAAGATAATTACAACTTTTTACATCCTATGACGATACCAAGACGTTTGTAAAATCTTAGAAATATAATGAAGTTACAAAATACGACCAGACCGAGGCAAAACAGAGACAAGGGAATTGAAGGTGCATGCGACATTTGTCTTAATTTGGTGTTACGCTCCTGGAGATCAATCCTAAGTGCATAATATTGTGTAATAGAACCGAAGGCACTTAATATGTGAAATATTTGATGGCTATGACCAAAAACATCGAACCTTCCTGGAAAAAGCCTTTCAGGAAAGTGTGACACAAACAGAAACCCTGCAGAAAACATTGACATGAAATGCAAATTCCAATAATAAAGTGAACTGCATTCAGAAGACTCATATTCACTTGCCATGTACTTACAGGTATATGAACGCCACAGAATCGGAGTTCCGACGTAAAACAAGATAATCCCAAATGCTCCCATTCTAATGATGTTACGAAAAACTGAAGGTTTCCAAAATCTGGTCTGACATGATAAGTATGTACCACAGATACAAAACAATGCTGAGATAAACAAGAATATATCACTAAGATTGAGAATAAAGAAAGGTGAAGGACGTAGGAACTCGACTGGCAGAGCAAACGCATAGTAGCAAACAGTGGAGCCATAAGAATACAGTGATATCCCAATATAGTCAAGAAAGAAACATATATGTCGAGCTCTAGGTGACAAACAACTAAATGTGTGAGCGCAAGAACTTGTGAACAGGAACGTAACGGCGGTAATTAGATATATAAGAAGAAAACGCTCGCCAACGTGGAAAAAATTCAGGAATAGTTCAATAACAAAATAAATGGTTGGTATGATTTGCGTCCATATATTCAAGGTTTCGTTGTGCATTTGGAAAACAGACCAGACACCTGATGAAAGTGACGCGGACGGCTTGCGATAACCTGATAAAATTCCAACTTCATGAAATTCTGGTGGAATTTGTGACATTGAAAGAATTTCCAGTTTGTCGTGGACTGGTTTTTTAAATGACCCAGAACTCCCAGGACCTCGGTACCGAGCATTTTTGTCGTCACTTGTAAATAGATGATGACGCATAGGTCTCATAAGTGTCCAAGAAGTCTGTTCTGTGAGTCAGGACTTATGAGCACATCGCAAACCTGGACGGACAAAAATAAAACCATTTCCACCGCCAACCATTTTATATAAGCCTCCAAGGTCACGGGATAGAAGTCCTCGAAAGGCGCTCCATTGGCTCAGTATAAAATCAATGTATTGGTTTTGATAGAATGTCACGATGCTTGTTAAAGAAACGAAATCCATGCAACTAAATTATATTGCCGATTTAATTAGAAACCAAATAACAAGTGAAGTAAATGTTTAAATAAGGTTAGAAATTAGTGTTGAGAATTAAAAAGAAATTCAGTCAAATTTCAGATTTGTGTAGTAAGGATGGAAGGCCTAAGGCCTATGTTATTCCTTTTCCAGTATGCTTCTATGTGTGTGCAGTCTTCTGCTGAATAAGTCAGCTGAAGATGCAGACACCACTGATTCTGGTAACAGGTTCCAAGTATTGATGACTCGGTGTGAAAATCTGTATGCTACGGGTATTTTACAGCTTTCTTCCATACCACGACACCATGTCATGCACTGACCACCTCTCCGCTTCTTCCAACCAGTCCCAGCGTCCGCAAATAATGCATGACGTGGAATTCTCTGGGACGACATTCGGAGAACATGTCCGAGCCACCGAAGTCGGTGGTTCAAGATGGTGACACCAATTGCATTATCGTTTCTGTGCCCGAACACACGATGCCGAACCTCTGCATTACTAACATGATGTTGCCACTGGATGTCAGCAATCCTTTGGAGACAACGATGGTCGAACACAGAGTTGTCTAACGTCCTCAACTCGGAGAGGTCAGGTTTCACAAGCATAGAGCAAAACTGCTCTCACCGACGCGTTGTAAATCTGACCTTTTACAGCCAGACTAACATCACGAACATCCACACATTCATTACTTACATCCATCAGAGCTGTTTCCGGAAAGTGATCGATGATAAAGTTGAAGAGGAATGGTGAGATTGGGCAACCCTGCCTAACCCCACTGCTCGAATGGAACAATGGAGAGAGGTGGTTGTATGCCCTCACTCTGCCTGAGGTGTTTTTATATAGGGCTTTCAGGATGTTAATAAACTTCTCAGGCACACCCTTCTTCAATAGACAATCCCAGAGAACAGTCCTATCCAACGAATCGAAGGCAGCTCTGATGTCGAGAAACACTACGATTGTTGGCCTGTGATACATATGGCGGTGTTCTGACATTTGGCGGAGGGCGAAAATATGATCAATACATCCTCGACCAGAACGAAACCCAGCCTGCTCCTCGCGAGTCAATCTTTCTTGGGTTTTGAACAACCTACGAAGTATGACGGAAGCCAATAGCTTGAACGCAATCGGAAGTAGACTTATCCCCGGATAGTTGTTACAGGAACGACGTGAACCTTTTTTTAAAGATATGGACAACTATCGACTCATTCCATGACATTGGTACACTCTCTAGCTCTCAGACATTTGTAAGCAACATCGTCAGTTCCTCAGTCAGAATGTCACCATCATCGTTAAAAAGAGCCGGAGGTAAGTCATCTTGGCCCGGTGATTGGTAGTGTCTCAAGAGTTAGAGTTCCTTGCGGACTTCCTCCTCGTTTGGTGGATCAGTCGTCACCGGCCATGGAAAGCAAGACAGTCCGTACGATTTTCGGTGAAATGGTAGCCAGCCTGGAAAATAGCTCGGTTTTATACTTAGTTGCAACCAGAAGCTGTATACGCGTGGCCGTGTGACAGCGTTTCGAGAGGGAGGGCGTGCCCACTCCACTTTCGGCCACACTAGAGCATTTGACATCACCCTGAAGCATATCCCGATCTTAACTTATAGCTTGATGAGTCATTCTGTTGCCTCTATCATCTCCTAATTGCCTTCCTATGAAAATGGTTAAAAAGGATCCATTTTGTAAATAGGTTTGTTGTTATTCACACTTTATCTAACTTCACCTTTATTTTTGCAATCAATGTTATTGACTTTTTGATTTTTATTTAAATCTGCTTATCTGCTTAAATGGCTCTGATCACCAATCACAAGTATAAACCTTACCCGATCAGATGACGTACTAAAAGATCCCTAATATAATGGCTATCAATGTTTACAAATCACATTTATATACATATAGCTCAACTGTTCATGGTACAGGCAAAAATATATTAATCAGTGACAGTACCATTGATTGCTTCACTATAACGCCTTTACTTATGGGTTCATTTCAAATTTTCGAGAAAACCTAATGTTCAAAGAGTTTCGGGAGTAAGGAGAGTTTTAGCGCATAAGATTTTCAGATAAATTTAAGTGAATCTGTAGAATTATGGTCTACTATGATATTAGTAATAATGTACTTGATCCTAAACTTGTAGACTTGTCATGATATAACTGCCTTATCTATAAGATCTTACGTAGAAGTCATACCATCGTCTACACTAACTTATCGTATCGTAACGATCACCAATACATGATGTAGAATACGTTTAGGCTAGAGATAGAACAATATATTTAGTATGAATAAAAGCTATAAGACAACACTCAACTAGGACCACGCCTGCAAGGCCGATCCATGCCATTCGATCAACTCCGATTAATTCAACTCCTTGTCCCCGCATTATCCATCGTTAGATATTTCTTCGCGTTAAATCTTGAATATCCATTTTCCGAGTAGTCTCGTATTCAGCTTTGAGAATTGTGTGCCTATGGTCCAGTGCCACCACAAATCTGCGAAGAAACAATGCGAAGACGTACGAATATGTAAGGAAATTTATTAACTCAGTATGAAGATCACAGCTAGTTTCTTGCAGACGTATCAAGTTTTTGGCAGAATAACACTGAGAAAACTGTTGAAACTCAATCCGCACATCCCTCGGTAGTGATTGTTAAACAGTTTATTTGAATTGTAGGCGAACTTCCTCTGTGGTAACAATATTTTATTTCCAATAATCGTTCATAATACGAAGTTCATCTAAATTCATTCCTCTCTCTCGGTGATGTATTCCTATCGGGGCGAAACCTTACCAGTCGTCATAGTTTGACATCTTTGTGCTTCAGCAGTATTTTGACACAAAACTTAGTAACACGGCTGCGTAGATTTTACTTTTAGTCGTGCTTTTTTGCAATTAAACAATTGTAAATTTTTTGATTGTCCTTAACGAGGGTATTTTCCAAATCTGTAATTAGTTTATAACTGCAGTTATCTTTAATTCGTTCCTATGTTAGCTTTCACTATAGTTAGATGTTTTGTAATCATTTGTTCATTGTCATTTTCGCTTTATTGTGTTTAATAGACAAATCAATAAGGTCATGAGTGTTTTGTTCATTGTGAGTCGCATACGAATATTCCACATTCAGCCAGCAAACTGGTAAGCAAATATGACGGCAGGGAGATAACTACAATTGATTTCACTTCCTGCTGAAAAATCCTATTACAAGTAAAGCTGGACAGTTAGGTAAAATGAATACCTCTCATGACCCTATAAAATCCATAAAAACGAAAACTGAGATGAAATGGCTTTGATGAGAAAAGGAAGAGAGCTGCTCGTGTATCAGAACACCGTTTTCAGTACTATATTCTAAAACTACACACGATTCTATACGTTCAGTTTCTTTTTGAAACACCTTCAATTATACGGTTCTTTGTTCATTCATACCATATTGTTTTCCTCCTCCAGTCACTTGCGATTCCAATTTATATCTTTCTCTATTAATATTAATCTACTTCCAGTTGCTTTGTTACACAATAATCTAATTTTTGTTAACTCCATGAGTTCTTATCACTATTTCAATGTTCTAAGATTTTTCCTCCCAAACTTTATTTATCCAAAATAAATTTTTATGACCTTATCAACCCTGTTGAAAAACTGGCTACATGATGATACTTATACTTAACTACGTATTCTTGCTACTTCCAATGAAGCATAGGCCGCCGATCAGCATTCTCCAACCCACTCTGTCCTGGGTCTTCCTTCACACTTCTATCCAATTTGTGTTAATTTTTCCCACGTCTGTCTCCATTTCCCGGCGTAACGTGTTCTTTGGTCTTTCCCTTTTCCTTTGCCCTTGAGAATTCCATATGAGGGCTTGTCTTGTGACGCAGTTGGGTGCTTTCCTCAATGTGTGTCCAATCCACTTCCAGCAATTCTTCCTAATTTCTTCCTCCGCTGAGATCTGGTTTGTTCTTTCCCACAGTACGTTGTTGCTAATAGTGTCCGGCCAACGGATCCGAAGTATTTTGCGTAGACAACTGTTAATAAACACCTGTATTTTCTGGATAATGGCTTTCGTAGTTCTCCAGGTTTCTGCCCATATAGTAGAGCTGTCTTGACATTGTATTGGAAATCCTGACCCTGGTGTTGGTTGACAGTTACTTTGAGTTCCAGATGTTCCTCAGTTGAAAATATGCTGCCCAAATATTTAAAGGTTTTTACATCTTCCAAATCTTCTCCGTCAATTGTGATTGGATTGGTGCATGCTGTGTTGTATCGGAGAATCCTGCTTTTCCCTTTGTGTATATTGAGACCTACTGCTGCTGAGGCTGCTGCTACACTGGTCGTCTTCTCCTGCATTTGTTGTTGCGTTTGGGATAGAAGGGCCAGATCATCTGCGAAGTCCAGATCGTCCAACTGCATCCTAGATGTCCATTGTATCCCGTGCTTCCCTTCAGACGTTGACGTCTTCATGATCCAGTCGATCACCAGGAGAAAGAGAAAGGGTGAGAGTAAGCAACCTTGCCTGACACCGGTCTTTACCTCGAACGACTTTGTCAACTGTCCTCCATGCACAATTTTGCAGTTTAATCCATCATAGGAATTCCGTATGATATTGACTATCTTCTGAGGCACGCCGTAGTGTCGAAGAAGTTTCCATAGTGTTGTTCTGTCCACGCTATCAAATGCCTTTTCGTAGTCAATGAAGTTGATGTAGAGTGATGAATTCCATTCAATTGATTGTTCCACAATGATCCGTAGAGTTGCGATTTGGTCTGTACACGATCTATCCTTACGGAATCCT